CAAGAAAGGTAAATGAAATATGAAAAATTCCAGGCTGCCCAATAAAAGCAGGAAGTGATATTGCAGATTCCATGGACCCTAAATGAGGAACGCAAATGATTTGGGGAGCCAGTGAAAAACAGTTCTGACATGTTTGGATGCCAAAGATTTTTAAAGTTGATCTCTTTTGGCCTGGTAAGATTTTATGCATTTTTGTCGTTCCAGCCAAGAGGTCTAAGGATTAGTGGATGTTTCTGCCAGCCTGGAACTCATGTGGTGAAAAGAATGTACCCATGTGACAGTGAGAAAGTGAATGTGTAAAGACAAAGGGCTTCTTTTCAAGAAAAGGATAAAAATTAATTCTCATTGTAATCTGGGTCTAGTGCTTAAAAATGATGGTAAATTAGCAATCCATTTAAATTAGAACTGTTTATGCATACTAAATATTTTCATCTCAGAATTGCTTATCAAATGATACCTAGTTTTCAGAATGCTTGAACAGGTAGGGCTTGAATTGCCTAGGGGGCTAGGACCTGAGCCCTATTCTCTTGGTCAGCATGAGAAACTAGCTCCTTATCAAAATTACAATAAATGGCTAGGAGTTATTAGATTGTACAAATTTTATATGGACTAATAATTACCCATATCCTCCTATTTTAACCTACACTCTTTACTGATAAGGAAAACACATACATCAGACTAGCTCAGAAATATCCAGTGGAGAAAAGGGAGAAGACAGAATTTCTTTCTGCTTCAAATATTTGTTAAATATTTGCCTTGAAGCAGATACAGAACTAGTTGGATGACAAGACAGTAAGTCCTATTAATGATGGGCTTTTCATTACTGTAGGTATGCTTTTGCAATTTTCCTAGATTTCTGTTCCAGGGTCACATGGTAAGTCAATAGTAGTTATAAACCTCTCAGTGTTGTGATCAATATCTCTGGCTGATGTAATCTAGACCTCTGGTATAATTTATAACGAAGGACAATTTGGGCAAGCATCTGTTTTATTACCTTCAATTCACCAACTGAAATATTTCACCCATTTATGACTGAAGTTCTTTCTAGTTTATGATAGATAGGGAATTGAGATAGTCCTGGGGGAGGGGACCCAAGCATGAAATGGAAAAACAGCAATAAGTATTTCTTCCTTTGGGGCATGTCTGCATACCTCCCCATGTCCTGAAGTTGTCTAAAGTGCCACAAGAATGAATCGTGTATGTCTGTGTGGCTCCCTGTATATGTCTAGGCATATGGATTGAAGAGAAGATTCGTGAAGTCTTCCTTATCTTCCAAACACACAGCATATAACTAAAACAATTCTTAGTCTACTGTTTCCTCAACCTTAATGAGGATAGTTAACCCATTATCTATTTGAGCAAAATAAGGAACAAAAATAATCTCTACACATCAGTACTGAGGACTGTGATGCTTATCATTGCATCTTCATGAACATTCCTGTAATTTTATTGGAATCTTTTCCATGTCTGTTGTGTACTTTAGGTCCAAAATTTAAATAAGAAATAAACCAGTCATTGGGGAAGTGATTAAAGGACTAGTGAGGAGTTCAGAGAAAGAAGGGAGGGAGGTATCCGGCAGGTGTCCTGCACCCAGGGGAAAGGTGCCACTGTCTTGTCGCCCTTCTCAATCTAAACTCTGTTTTATCAATGCTCTGGATAAGGTACAATCACAGCTTTGTTTCTATTGCAAAAAGCAGGCATGAGGTGGAGGGTGGGGAAGGATTTGGATGTAAACATCTGTAACATCCTTTTCAGACCGAATTTCCCTTTTAGCCACCACAGGCTACCTTTACATGGGCTTTTATGGTCCAAGACTAAATATAATAATATTGCAATTACTGAGCCACCATGATGGGCCAGGTGCCTTAATACACTTTCTAAAGTCTTCAGACAACTTTGTGAGGCAAGCAGGATTAACCTGTTGGACAGAGGAGAACATGAGTTTAGAGAATGTTGTCCAGCTTGAGTTAGGGCTTAATCTATTTATCCAAGAAACTTTATGTTTTGTATGTTTAAACTGGGATGCCTCTTCAAGAGAATTTACAGGTCTAAGAAATGCATAGTTTTAATATTCACTCATTGTATAATTTTGTCTGTTTCTTTCCTCAAATTCCCTGGGACAAGAGAGATTGTCTATTATCTAACACTGCCTGATATGTGTAGGTGCTTGATAAATATTTGTTAGGTTAGATAAAATGCTTATCAATTTCTTTTATACAATGCTATCTTGTTTCCTGAACTCAAATGGGTAGATTAGCAATGCTGGATGTCAGCATTCAAACATCTGATGTACTTTTACAGAATTTATATGCCTTCCCCTTTCTTTAAGGGTGGAATCCACTGTGTAGGACAGAGAGAAAAAAATATAGTTGATATATACCTCACGAAGTAAAAAAAAAAATCCCATAGTAATTAGAAATTCAGAGCATCAAGCAAAACTTTATAAATGGGTATCTTTTTGTCATTTCCTAGAAAGTTCTGCCTTCTCCATGTCAGTGTTGTCTAAACATCATGGGAATTGCATAGGCAATAACTTTATCTAACCTCACCTGTGGTGGTTTTAAGTGATTGATTGAGGATAAAAAAATGCTGCTTCAGTTCAGCAATTATTTGAGAATCCAGTAAGTGCCAGATACTAAAAATATAAAGATGATAGGTTATTGTCATATGGAGCAGAATTTGATTGATCTTCCTATGGAAATGCCTCTTTTAACTGGGAGAGAATTTGGCTATGTACAGGGATTGGATTATCTCCTGGTAAAGATCCCCTCTGCTGCTGCAGTGTATTTTGGTAGGCATTGTATTAAACTTGGGTCTTGTAAAAGTCAGATTTCCCCAAAGTGCTACACAGTTCTCAGTTTGAATTCCCTTGCCATTACAAGAATATACATGGCGATAAACTGAAGGTAGTTTCTCTGGTAATTGGAGATTCCTGAATGGTGGGTACATATGTAGATGAAAAGATTAGTTTTGAGGGGACAAAAAGGCTTCTCTCTCCAATCACCTAGGTATCTCTGTGCCAATCATGGGTTTGCAGCTCCATTATCCTGTCTTCTAGTCTAAGAACACAACTTGCTGGGGAAGAGTCCCATGCTAAAACAGGAACCAGGTGCTCCAGCAGTTGAAAGACTATCAAAAAAAAAAAAAAATAGATGAAAGTTGGCAACTGAGAGCAAATTTTAGAAAGACAGAGACTACCTGAGATTCAGGGATGCAAGTTCTTTGACTACTGCCCATGAATTACCTTGACTAAGGCTCTCATATATCCATGAGTTTGATGTAGCAGGTGAAACGAATCTTAGGCTTCCTCCATTATTATGTAAATGTAGGTAATCAAGCATGACTAGCAATAACCAACTCTCAGTATACAAGATGTTACATCACTTTAATTGTATGATTTATCAGAACAACTATTAACATACAAAGTACCATTCAGCTCAATTGCAGGAATAGGCAGTGGCAAGTATCTAGTTCTCAGAAGAATCACTCCCACAATCTGTCTAGACACATTAATCTAAGGACACGTTTATAAATAGCAAACATGATTTTCACATTGTAGCGTTCTCAAGCACATATATACAGGTGTGCAGTCCTGTTGATGGGTTGTTTCCACAAGCTCTTTCTGTTCTTGATGCATTCATTCTCTTGACCTCAGTAGAGGGAGTTATTTCTTCCCACAGAGCAGATTTTTTTTGTCATCTGTTATTTACAATACTCTGAATCAGTATCACTCTTTACATCTGTGAAATAGTAATATTCCACTGGAAATAGCTCTACAGTACAATTCCTTGCATCTTCTAGTAAATCTGCCCATTGTCAAAGAGATTTTGGTTGTAATCACTGCACAACACCCAAACCCAACTATTGAGTTTCAGTGTGACACACCATTTTTGTAGCTGTGTTAACTCTTGGCTTCAAGTTCTGGTGATGTAATGAGGGTGGGGTGTATTGGCAATCAGTATATTTTCTTATCACTATTTACAGTCATTTAAAAATCATGCTGTTATTAATCCGAGTCCAACATACCTTTTCTAAAATGTTCACAGTGCAGTATTTTTGTGGCCTAACAAAATTTTTCTTCTATCATTAAAAATAAACATTTTTATAAAAATAGAATACTTTAAATGTTTACATTGACAAAACCAGTTAGAGTAACATATGCCACATGCACTATACAGTAGGAAGCACAAAATTCCACAGAACAAAACATCACAAAAGTCCTTCACAGAATAGCTACTCATCCAGGCGAAATAGCTGGATTTTCCATGGCCTTTTTTTGGTTTGTTTCTAAAATGTGTTTTGATTAACACAAAACACGCTCTAATAAAAACATGGGACTCCCCGAAAGTTTTATCTCCAATTGTTTGTAAGGTAGGAAGCTGCCCCTTGAGTAAGAGGCTAATATTTCTAGTCCATTAATCCTTTGTTTTATCTATGAGCTGTGATTGGAATCAATGAACCTTTTGGTAAAATGTATTCTACTTTAAAATCATGCTGAGTTACCTTTAAAAAATATTTATCATCACAAGTTACTTGTTTCATTTTCAAAGTTCTCATTAAAAAAAATACAGACAAAACAGCTAAATGTCCACGTTCATTAGATCAGAGAGGCATTATTCTCAGTTGATTTTTAAATGACAACTAAATGTTTCATTGTAACTAAATTATCTCATAAAAATCTTCTTAATGTCATCTATGTACAATATGTAAATATACCTGTTAATTTATAAACACATTTTGTGTCATGCTATTTTGAAACATAGACTACTTTGATCCTATGGATACTTCTCCAACAAAGGAATGTGTATACAATTATTATTATTTTCAGAAATAAGGTCTCGCTCTGTCATTCAGGCTGGAGTGCAGTGGTACAATCATAGCTCACTGCAGCCTCAAACTCCTGAGTTCAAGTGATCCTCCCACTTCAGCCTTCCGAGTAGCTGGGACTACAAGTGTGCCCCATTATGCCTGGCTAATTAAAACAATTTTTTTTTTGTAAAGATGAGGTCTTGTTATGTTGTCCAGGCTGGTCTTGAACGCCTGCCCTCAAGCGATCCTCTCCTGTAGCTGGGATTATAAAAGTGAGCCACCGTGACCGTCTCTATGCATACAAAAATTTAAAAGGGAATGTCTTACCTAATGGGCAAATGGCAACATCAGTAATGAAAAATGTTAGTGACCATAGAACACACAAAAGATTTTTTTAAAATCTGGAATTCTAAATGAGTGCCCTGATCTTGGGGCTGCTACGTCTGTTTTGGATATTACCATCTCCTCTGAGCTTTCTATGATCAAGAAGCCTTCAAAATTCACTGTTTCAGTTCCACATATGAAATCAAGTGGGACTCTGATTTTTAAAAAATTCAACCAAGAGTTAAGGTTTTGGATTCAATGTAACAGGAGTGTCATCACAGCTTGTAGGCTGTTAGTCTCTGGTTTGTGAGACCAAGGCTCTGGTTCTGCTGCTCTGTCAGAATAAAAGCCTCCTTAGAATCCAGCAATTTAAATAACAAGTCCTATAATAGTGCAATTTTGGCAAAAGCAAAAAATTATCGATGGCCGTTCAAAGACCAGGCAGTGAAAACACGATTGGACAAAGAATGGACTGATGTTTGGACTAGTACTGTGATGTCTCCAAAAGGGGACTTGGTGCGGTATCCAACCATCATGTGTCCACCTCATCATCAGTGTCCGGATGTGAACGTCCATCTTGTGATGACAGCAGAGATGGATATGGAGCGACACATTTTATATTCACATAAGTAGCATTCACATGGACATAGTGCTCCCCAATGAAAGTCGAGAAGATCGCTGATATCCTGGATACCAGTTCAGAAAAGGATGGACGCATTTCAGCTCTAGGGTGCCAGCATTTTAGCATTACTTCATACCTGTTTCAGAAAGAAAAAATGCTGTAAGAGGCCCCTTGAAGGGCAAGAATTTCTGTGAAAGTAAAGCATGTAAGAGGTACAGAAAAAAGATTCTGTTACAATTCCTACTTACAAGGGATCTGGGCAATATTCGGGTTGTAAGAGTCTTCTGCCTTGCAACAGGTAAACGGTTATATCGAAGGTGTTCACATCAGGATAAGGTGGGGCTCCTCTTGTCATCAGCTCCCAGAGGAGCACGCCAAAGGACCACTAGTGAAACAAGGAAAGGTGAGAGTTTGGGTGAGAGAAGTGTGACCACACTAATATGAAAGGAAATCAGCAGGTCTTGATAACTAAGCTGGGTTAACGCATTCCATGTGATTGCTGTTTGAGGCAACAATTTCCTTAAAGGTAATTTTTAAGTTATACTTTCATGACTTGTTGAAACCACGTGGGGTTTAGATTACAAATAAATACAGTGTTTTCAAAAAGAATATCTGAAGTCTACACGATGATTAAGATTTTCTAAGTTCTCTCTCGTGGGATCAAAGCACTAACATGTTTTTATCCTTCTCTCTTCCAATAGCCTCACTATGATTTTATGTTATTAGTAAAAGAAGAAGATAAGGAAAGCCATTGGGAATTTAAATTTGTGGAATTTCAAAAAGAATGTAAATGCTCTTTAAGAAATGTAATCATATCTAAATGTTAATGTTAAAAGAGAAAATCTAAGTCAAAGTAAAAATCCACATTAAAAATTAGAAACTCTAAGACTACTAGGCAACAGGTCTTCATATTGAAAATTAATTTCAATAAAACTGTAATATGAAGATGTTAAAGTACTAGATTCATATAAAACAACTGTATCAGTACTTTATAGGGAGATCACAGGGACACAGAGAAGTTAAGTGACTTAATAAATTCTCCAATACATCTGAATCCACACTGGGGAAAACATTTAAGAGTTCTTGACCGTTTGGTATTTCTTGGTCTACTGAACTTCACTAAATATGCAATTTCTTGATTTAATTCTGAATAGATCAGGTCATACATATTATCTCCCCCTAGACGTGTGCATAGGCAAGAATGACACAAGGAGAGTAAGTAACATGGGTAGGTCACCCCTGTGCAAAGGTCCCAGGAAGGCAGTTCTTGCTTATAATACTTCTAGACCACTCCCAGAGTCAGAAATGTAAGGGGAAAGGAATGAGGCCCTGAAGAAAAAGAAGCTTGGCAAGGAAAAATAATTTAGAACATACAGGTGGAGTAGGAAAAATAAACTTGAGAGGCAAGGGTAGCTTGTAACACTCAATGAGAAGGAGAATAAGCATGCCTTTGCACACTGTCACTGCAAGAAGGAAGTAGGTAGATATTGTCATTGCTGATACAAATTTCCATTAATGACTTTTCCCTTTGCCCAAGTGCAGGGGTCCTTGAAGACCATAGACTACCTTGATGCAAATAGAAGACACAAACCCCTTTGCAGGTAGGAGCTAGACAACTTTACTGTGCAATTCAGCCTTTCAAAATGGGAGTTTTCAAAGCCTGAGAATCTTAAGAATCACTTCTGACAACATCATTGTGTTAGCTTTCAAGTTCTAGAATTTGCATTAAAATTTAAATCAATGTAACGAGCCTCTGTTGACCCTTGATCACATACACATAGGTTACTGCATAGGTCCCAGGGCTGAATGAACAGGGTTTAGAGTATTGCACAGATAGTTGTCATATGAGAAAATAAGATAATAACTGTAATATAGAGCAGTAATATCAAAAAGGTCCAAAGGTTGTCAAAAGCCAGAGAGATAATAGTGGGGTACTGAGAAAGGTTTCAGGAAGAGAGTTGACAGTAAAGCAGGTCTTGAGGTAGAAGGAGAATTTGTTTTATAGTTACATGTGATATGAGGGTAGAAAGAGAGTTCTAGGCAGAGGGAGTGGCCCAAGGGTAAGAGTACACATGTGTTTTTTATTTTATTTTAGAGTTTGTGGCATACAAGTGAGAATTTACTACATAAGAAAGTTGCATGCAGGTGAAGTGTGAGCTTCTAGCTGGCCCTCTCTCCCCCGATAGTGGACCAGGTACCCAGTGTGTTGCTACGTGCTCCCCTCCCTCCTTCTTCCTTCCCTCCACTAGTAGTGTCCAGTGTCTGCCTATCAATCCTTTGGGCTCGACACGTGTGTCTTATTGAACCATGACTATAATAGCTCATGCCACTTGACCTGTTGGAATAGGGATAGATAGGGCTGAAATGGGTCTGTGCTGTGGAAGCTTTAATTTTTTATTTTAAAGATATGTGGTACAAGTCAGGATTAGGTATATAAGTGGGCTAAGTACAGGTGAAGTTTGGGCCTCCTTATTGATTTTATGTCCCCCTGCCCAACAGTGTCCCACTACTGCCAATCTCTTTTTTGTGGTATTATGATAGGTGTTCAGGGTCCACTTATGAGTGAGAACATGTGGTACTCAGTTCTTTGTTTCTGTGATAGATCACTGAGCATGACAGATTCCAAATCCAGGCTTTTAAGTGTTGAAAGTAGGTTAGACTAAAATCATGGGACATGACTGAGTGGTGCTCCAGGAGATGGCATCTGTAAGCACTATGCTTAAGTCAAAAAGGAGAAGCTGATCTACAACATGGACACCAGCTAAGAGGTATCTAAATATGAATAAGTGAGGGGCATCACTGCATACCTGCAATGCAGAAGTTCATGAGGCTTTACTCTGGAATTAGGGTGGCAAAAGAGAATGTTCTATCATATAATGATTTATGTATGGGCGTTATATCCTTTAAAAACATTATCTTTTAAAATCCTTATAATGAATTGTAGTTGGCTAAATGCTGTAATGTAATTGGTTTGTTTTAAGGATGAGGAAAGCAAAGTTCTGAGAGGTTGGTGGGTTCTGTGATCAAGTCACCCTATCTGATAGCCTAAGCTGTATCTAGTTTGTCTGGAGAGAAATCCACCAAAAAAGGGAGCAGAATTTGGTACATTTCTGAGGAATTCTAGGACTTGGGCAATAATTGGGTATCAGAGGAGAGTTGGAGGACTCATGGGATGAGGATGTGAGAAGAAGGAAGGCAGTTTCCAGAAAAACAATCTTGTCTGCATCCCAAACTCCCTTCAGAGTAGCCTAGGGCTGACAGGAGAGGAGAGAGAGGAGCTAGCAAGGAGAGTGATGCTGACCAGGAAGCTGATCAAGAGGATGGAAGCTGGTGTGTGTGGTGAGGGGAGAGAGGTGTACAATCCATGTGCATTAGGGATGATAGAAACCAGTTTTAGTTTCAGGAAATGAGAACTCTCACATTCATGCTTACTGTGTGGCATTGGTCAAGCCATTTTGAACATCTGAGCACTACTAACAGTCAGCTCATCTGAAGAATCTCTTGCCTAATTTTACCAAAGGTGATTATCAAAGCAGTTATTTGATGTGAGAGACAGTTATCGGTTATAAAAAGTGATAAAAAGGATCACTGCTGAGGTAAGCAAGGAATGGAGACAGGTAGAATGGAGCATTCAAAAGTAATTGAATGCAACATTGAGATGCAACATCAAAACCAGGACTGATGAAAGAAAAAAGTTAAAGTGATAAAAATTTTTTCAGTTGGTAAAATTTTCAACAAAATCTGTCAAAACCTCCTTGTACTGATAAAAGACTTTGGCAAAGTCTCAGGGTATAAAATAAATGTGTAAAAGACAATCACATTTCTTTACACCAATAATAAACAAATAGAAATCCAAATAAAAAGCACAATCCCATTCACAATAGTCACAAAAAAAAGAAATACCTTGGCATCTTCCTAACCAGAGACATGAAAGACCTTTACAATGAAAACTACAAAAACTGCCCAAAGAAATCAAAGATGACACAAACAAGTGGAAAAATACCCCATGCTCATGAATTGGAAGAATCGACATTGTGAAGATGTCCATCTTACCTAAGGCAATCTACAGATTTAATGCAATACCCATCAAATTACCAGCAGCATTCTTCTCAGAGCTAGAAAAAACAATACAGGAATTCATATGGAAACACAAACAACCAAGAAGAGCCAGAACAATCCTCAGCAAAAAAAACAACAAAAAAACAAAAAACCAAAAACAACAACAAAGCAGGAGGTATAACATTACCAGACTTCAAACTTTACTATAAAGCTATAATATAACAGCTTGGTATTGGTACAGGAACAGGCATATAGACCAATGGAATAGAATTGAGATTCCAGAAGCAAAACCTCAATTTCTCAACCAACTCATTTTCGACAAAGCCTCCACCACCTACCACTGGAGAGAGGAGAATCTATTCAGTAAATGGTGCTGGGAAAACTGGCTGACCACATGCAGAAGATTCAAACAAGACCCCTATCTAGCCCCATACACAAAAATTAACTCTAAATGGATCAGAGACCTAAATGTAAAACCTCAAACCATAAGAACCTTAGAAAATGCAGGACACACCCTTATGGAAATTGGAACTGGCATCCAATCCCTGAACAAAACCCGAAATGCCCGGGCCATAAGAGATGAGATAGACAAATGGGACCTCATTAAACTGACAAGCTTCTGCAAAGCCAAAGAAACCATCAAAAGAGCAGGGAGGCAGCCCACAGACTGTGAAAAAGTATTTGCCAACTCCATGCCTGACAAAGGTCTAACATCTTAGATCTATGAGGAACTCAAATGTGCTGAAAAGAAAAAAACAAACAACCCCATTACAAAGTGGCAAAAGATATGAACAGACACTTCTCAGAAGAAAACTTATGAGCGGCCAACAGACACATGAAGAAATGTTCAACCTCACTAATCATCAAGGAGATGCAAATTAAAACCCCCACTGAGATACCACCTAACTCCAGTCAGAATGGCCATTATCAATAACTCAAAAAATAACAGATGCTGGAGAGGATGTGGTGAAAAGGGAACACATCTACACTGTTGTTGGGAGTGTAAACTAGTGCAGCCTCTGTGGAAAGCAGTGTGGTGATTCCTAAAAGCTCTGAATATCAACCTCCCATATGACCCCGCAATTCCCCTAATGAGAATATACCCTGAAGAACTCAAATTACTCTATAAAAGATACCTGCACACATATATTTATCGCAGCATTGTTCACAATAGCAAGAACCTGGAACCAATCATGCTGTCCATCAAAAGAGGACTGGATTAAAAAAATGTGGTACATATACACGATGGAATACTACACAGTCATAAAAAAGAACAAAATCATGAATTTTGCAGCAACCTGGATGGAACTAGAGTTTATAATACTG